ATCATTCAACTAATTATAATCTCATTTTTCTCTTTATGAGGGTTTATATTTAAAAAACACAATAATTTATTTTTCAAAAAACATAGTGAGCTAAAAAGATCAATTACAATTTTTTTTGAAGTCAAAATACAATTTAATCATCATCAATAATTGGTACATTATGTGACCCTAATGAGTACAATCCATTTTGTTTTTCAAAAAACACAGTCAGTTAAAAATTAAATCACAAATTAAGTAAATTGATAGTTAAAAAAACATAATAATTTTTTTTTCAAAAAACACAGTGAGTTAAGAAAATCAATTACAATTTTTTTTTCAAAATACAATCTAATCATTATCAATAATTGGTACTTTAAAAATCAAATCAGAAAAAAAAATCAAATCAAATCACAAATATGTTTATGCTATCTAACTACAATCATATTTTTTTCATAAATAATAGTAAAAGAAAAGCCATTAAAACAGTAAATAAAAGATTAAATCACATTAAAAAAAAAGAACCATTGAACAAACTACAATCACATCACATTTTTCCCTGAATAAAAAGAATTATTAAACTAACTAAAATCACATTAAAAAAAAAAAAGAATCATTCAACTAATTATAATCACATTTTTCTCTTTGTGAGGGTATATATTTATCTAACTTCAATCATATTAAAAAATCAAAAATAAAATTAAAATAGTAAATAAAAAGATTAAATAACATTAAAAAAATCATTGAACTAATTACAACAATCATATTAAAAAAAAAAGCCATTGAACAAACTATAATCACCTCACATTTTTCCCATAATAAAATAAATAAATGAATAAAAAGAATTATTAAACTAACTAAAATCACATTAAAAAAAAAGAATCATTCAACTAATTATAATCACATTTTTCTCTTTGTGAGGGTATATATTTATCTAACTTCAATCATATTAAAAAATCAAATATAAAATTAAAATAGTAAATAAAAAGATTAAATAATATTAAAAAAAACCATTGAACTAAATACAACAATCATATTAAAAAAAAGAGTCATTGAACAAACTACAATGACATTACATTTTTTCTATAATAAAATAAATAAATGAAAAAAAAAGAACTATTAAAACTAACTACAATTACATTAAAAAAAAAAAGAATCATTCAACTAATTATAATCACATTTTTCTCTTTGTGAGGGTTTATATTTATCTAACTTCAATCATATTAAAAAATTAAATTATAATTTTTTATTCGCTAGACAAATCACAAATATTTTTATGCTATCTAACTACAATATTAAAACAGTAAACAAAAGGAAAAGTCAAGAAAGAGAAAACAAAAAGAAGACTTACTGTTTGCATACATGGTCATTGAAATTAAAAGTGTAGAATTGAGAAGTCAAGAAGGATAAAACAAAAAGGAGCCTCACTGTTTGCAATAGGTATGTAAAAAGTTAAAAAGAGTGTGCGTATTGGAGAAGTTAAAAAGACTTGGAAGAATTTAAAAAGTATTAAGTTTTTTTTTTTCAAAAAAAATCAAAAAAATTAAAAAATTAAGGTTCAGATATTGGAACTCCCCAAAACTTGTGAGTTAGAGATAGACATAAATAAATAGATAGATATAGATATAGATATTTATAGGAGCTTTTTTGATAAATCTATTTTCTAATAGTTTTATCCTATCCAACCCATATTCTTTTTGACTATTCCATTAGGTCCAATTTGAGATAAGAAGACCAAAATACCCTTTTCATCTACTTATGTTCCATTTAGTTCACATTATTTTCTTATATTTCAATAAGTCCTATGGGTGACATAATTATCAAAATATCCCTAATGTGAATGTTCACATCGTCAATGTGAATGTTCATATCGTCAATGTGTAGGGGCCCGGCCCATGTCGATCCTCGTGGGTGCCCGGAAAAATTCGAGTCGGGCCGGGCCGGCCCACAGGCCAAAAAAATAGACCCGGCCCGGCCCGTTGATAATGTGAATATTCACATTGACAAGTTAACATTCACATTGATAGGAGTGTAAAATTAGCCCGCGGCCTGTGGCCGGCCCAAACCCCGCCTGCGGCTCATGGGCTGCCCTGGGCAGGCCCGGCCCGACCCGTTGATAATGCAAATATTCACATTGACATGTTAACATTCACATTGATAAGAGTGTAAAATTGACTCGCGTCCCATGGGCGGCTTCACATTGACATATTAACATTCACATTGATAAGTGTGTACAATTGGCCCGTGACCCGTGTGCAGCCCGAAGCCTGACCTCAGGCCAGGGCGGGCCCGGCTCGACCCGTTGATAATGTGAATATTCACATTGACATGTTAACATTCACATTGATAAGAGTATAAAATTAGCCCGCGCCCCGTGGCTGCCGGAAACCAACCCACAGCCCGTGGGCGGCTCGGGGCGAGCCCGACCTGGCCTGTTGACAATGTAAATATTCACATTGACATGTTAACATTCACATTGATAAGAGTGTAAAATTGACTCGTATCTCATGGACGGCCCGAAGCCCGTGGGTGGCCCGGGGCGAGCCCGGCCCGGCCCGTTGACAATGTGAATATTCACATTGACATATTAACATTCACATTGATAGGAGTGTAGAATTGGCCCGTGGCCCGTAGGCGGTCCGAAGCCCGCCCGCTGCCCAGGGCAGGCCCGGCCCAGCCCGTTGACAATGTGAATATTCACATTGACATATTAACATTAACATTGATAACATTGATAAGAGTATAAAATTAGCCCGCGCCCCGTGGCTGCCCGAAACCAACCCACAGCCTATAGGCGGCCCGGGGCGAACCCGGCCTGGCCTGTTGACAATGTGAATATTCACATTGACATGTTAACATTCACATTGATAAGAGTGTAAAATTGACTCGCGTCCCATGGGCGGCCCGGGTTTGGGTCCGGGCCTACCCCAAGCTGCGGGCGAGCTTCGGTCAGCGAACAAATTTTACAATCCTATCAATGTTAATGTTAACATGTCAATATGAATATTTACATTGTCACGGGTCGGGCCAAGCCCGCCTCGGGCTGCAATCTGGCTTCAGGCAGCCCACGGGCTGCGGGCCAATTTTACACTTTTATCAATGTGAATGTTAACATGTCAATGTGAATATTCACATTGCCAACGGGCCGGGCCCGCCCCGGCCTGAGGTCGGGCTTCGGGCTGCCCACGGGTCACGGGCCAATTTTACACTCTTATCAATGTGAATATTAACATGTCAATGTGAATATTCACATTGTCAACGGGCCGGACCGGGCCCGCCTCGGGCTGTCCATGGGCCGTGGACGGGTTTCGCCCCGCCACGGGACGGGGGCCAATTTTACACTTCTATTAATGTGAATGTTAACATGTCAATGTGAATATTCACATTGTCAACGGGCTAGGCCGGGTCGGGCTCACCCTGGGCTGCTGGCCAATTTTATATTCTTATCAATGTGAATGATAACATGTTAATGTGAATATTCACATTGTCAACAGGCCGGGCCGGGCCCGCCCTGGGTCGCCCACGGGTCGTGGGCTGGTTTCGGGCAGCCACGAGGCACGGGCTAATTTTACACTCCTATCAATGTGAATGTTAACATGTCAATGTGAATATTCACATTGTCAATGGGCCGGGCCCTTCCCGGGCCGCGGGCGGGCTTTTGGCCGCCCATAGGCCGCGGGCCAATTTTATACTCTTATCAATGTGAATGTTAACATGTCAATGTGAATATTCACATTGTCATTGGGCCGGACCGGGCCCGCCCCGGGCCGTCCATGGGCCGCGAGCGAGTTTTGCGCCGCCACGGGACGTGGGCCAATTTTACACTCCTATTAATGTGAATGTTAATATGTCAATGTGAATATTCACATTGTTAACGGGCCGGGCCAGCCCCGGTTCGCGGGCGGGTTTCGAGCCGCCCATGGGCCAATTTTACATTCCTACCAATGTGAATTTTAAAATATGAATGTTCACATCATTAAATTGCTAATCGTTAAAAAAAATATTTATAAAGGTATCAAAATTGAATACAAGGGCATAAGTGTTCAAGAAAATAGTGTAAATCAAGAAAATGGACTTTATAGAATAAAATCATACATACATGGGACTAAGCCTGTGTTTGGCAAGGGGTTTTTCAGGCTTTTTTGGCTATTTTAGCCACAAAAAACAAAATAGGCTATTTTAGCCATAACAAACAAAACATCACATCCAACCTATAATCATTACATTCTTCTCTCACAAAAAAAGTCAAAAAAGCCAAAAAGCCAAAAAGTTCTTCCCAAACCAAGCTTTTTAGTCCAGGCTAAAATAGCCAAAAAAGTCAAAAAGCCAAAAAGCCAACCCACTTCCCAAACGGAGGCTAAATGGGTTAAAAAATTCCTTCATGGACTTCTTGGATTAAAACACTTCTAAATTGGACTTATCAATAAAAATTCCATATTTATATTTGTTTTAAATTTTTTTTAATATAGAAATTATTTGTTTTGAAAAAGGTATTACAGTAATTATAAGAGAAATCAAAAAATCTTGTGAGTTGAGAGAAGTTAATAAATACTGAAGTTAAATTTTTTTTTTAAAAACAAAAAATTAAAAAATTAACATTGATGTATTGAAACTCTCACAAATCTTGAGAGTTAAAAATCTCATTTTAGTTAATATATAGTATAGAAGTATAGATTATATGTTTAATTATAAATTTGGAAAATTTTTAATTGGAATTTTCAAAACTAAGCCATATGCGAGCGAAGTGAAGACAACCAACGGAGATCTTATCTGCAACTGCAAGCGCACATGTATTACAGTGATTAAGCCTCCATTATCTATTTAGGTCTTTGATACCCCATCACTCTACGTAAACGTGGCGAGTGGTGATAAAATTAAAAAAAAAGAAAAAGAAAAACCAAACACAAAACTCAAAAAAAATAAACAAAAAAAAAAAAAAAAAAAACCAATCATGTTGAGAGGGATAAAGGGGATGGGGTGTGGCGAGTGGTGAAAAAAAGAATAAAAAAGCAGCGCCAATCATGTTAAGGGGGATAAAGGGGGATGGGGTGAAAAAAAAAACACAAAAAGAAAAGGGTCTGGAACATTTTTCTATCTATTTAAACTCACCATTTGGCTCTCTTCCAAACGCAGACGAAACCAAAGCTTTTTCATGGCTCGGGTGGTCTTAAACCCTATCGGTCTCCATAAATTCCGGCCGTATAGCTTTGTGACTCATCAATCCCTGCAATTGATAAAACCCTCGGTACGCTCCCTGAACAGAACTCGTAGATGTCAAATAATTTTCTGCCAAACAAACCCCAATCCCGCCGACTCCTCCGAAACGGTACTGTTCTTTCCTTTGTTGATTCTCTCTGTGGTTTTACCTCTATTGTTGATCACCCAATTTTCAAATCCTGTCCTGTTTTATGGGTTTTGCCTCTCATTTTTTTGTGTAGAATGGATTGGGTATTGTCTGAATTTGCGTCTAACAGAAGGTGTAATAGCCAATGCTTAGTAATTTCTCTGCTCATTAACCTGATTCATCATTGTTTTTTTAACCTCCGTTTGTTTTTTGATATAGAAGGAAGTGGGTATTGTTGTTGTAATTTGGGTCTAACAGCAGGTTTAGCATGATTCATCATTGTTTAAATCTCTTAGTTGTGATTTGTTTTAAATTTGGTTTAACAAGAGACTATGTTTGCTTGAAAGTTTTCTCTGATGAGTTGTTTTAAGGGTTAGACAAATTTGGTGAAGGTGAAGCAAGTGATGTTGTAAACTGATATGATAGTCTTGAAGAGTCCGGAAGTCTTCTTTTTTTTTTCCTTTTTTTTCTCTCTCAAATGTTTGAGAACCAAACCCTAACAACCAGAGAGGCGAGAGAAAGAGAGAAGGAGGAATGGAGGAGGAGGAAGAAGAAGAGAGGACGCCGGAGATGGCTTCGCTGGCCAAATGGGAAGACGTGATCTGGCCACATCGGAGAAGGAGAAAGAGAAGGGGTAGAAGAAGAAGAGAGCAGAAGGATCGAAATTTTTTTCCTCTTTAACAATGGAGTTCGCAGATTACCCAAACCCGGTACCAATTTCTGACCCAGGTCCTTTGAAATCGATCTCAACGAGACCCCCTTCCCTCTCATCACGAAACCCTCGACGTCGCCCTGCCTTCACTGCTGGAGGGAGAGATTTTGGTGTGTGGTGGTTGCGGGCGAGGGTATCATGTGAAGTGTTTGCTAACAAAGACATCTTCATGTACAGGTTTGTCTCTTTTTCTCTCTCTCTCGCTCCCCTCTTTTGAATTTGAGAACCTGTTTTATGTTTTTCTCTCTGTTTTTTATGGGAAGGTTGAATTTTCTGGAAAAATTTTGTTTAATCACGGAAAATTCTATATATGTTTGGGGAAAGTCCAATTCTTTTTGCTCTACAAAATATGGGCTTACTAGTTGGAGATGGGTTTAGGATAGAATCGGAAAAGGATGAGATTTTGCCGTCTTATTTTCGGTTCACTGCGTTTGGATGCGGAGAAAACTAAGTCAAATGAAAGGGAAAATTTATAGTGAATGTTTCTTATTTTGGTCTCTGAAAATTGATAAACGCAAAAAAAAATAAAAAATAAAAAATAAAAATAAAAAATTGATTGGACCCAAAAGAGTTTGCTCTCAATATGGGAAATTCAAACTCCAAATTTTAAATTGATCTATTATCATTATATTTTCTCTGCAACCAAAAAGGATTGATTTTTTTGTTTTCTTACAAAATTTTCATCTTTGTTTTGGGGGTTATTCTAAATTTGTATGGTTTTTGAATTGCAGAGGGGACACTCCATTCTGTAGTGAAGAGTGCAAACAACAACAGATAGAGATGGATGAAGCCAATGAGAAGAATTGGAAGATCTTTGCTTCCATGAAAGCCTTGAGGATTGATCAGAAGAAACCCAACAAATCCTTCTCTCCAAAGAAGACCCAAAACTATGCTTTCCTTCTCTGTCTCCTTCCTTTCTTTTGTTTTTGTTTTTGTTTTTGTTTCTCTCTCTCTCTCTCTCTTTCCTTTTTTGTTTTTGTTTTTGTTTTGGCTCCAAAACGACGTTTTGGGGTACTGCAGGGAACCATGACAGAGGATCCGGACTCATAGTCAGGATGTCAATGGAGTTGTGTTGTGCTGTATTGTGCAAGTAGACCAAATCAGAGGGTGAAGGAGTTTAAAATAATAATACTGCAAGGAACCATGATAGAGGATCCGGACTCATAGTCGGGATGTCAATGGAGTTGTGTTGTGCTGTATTGTGCAAGTAGACCAAATCAGAGGGTGAAGGAGTTTAAAATAATAATAGTAGCCGGAGTGAACTATCAAAACCATGCTAGACAAGTAACTAGAAACTAGGATTCATTACTGTTTGCTTCCAGAGGTTTATTGTTAGTTACCACCACTGCCTTACAAACAAAAAAATAAAAAATACAGTAGAACAATTAACCCGGTTTTTCCTTTGCTTTGCTCCTTTTGGTGACCTTTTGAACCCACTTGTTGAAAGTGGTTTGGCAACAACTGAAACAGCCGAGTTGTAGCCTTTGCTCTCAGTCCTCCTGATCTCTTATTGTGGTCCATGACTCCATGTATGAATAGATATGTTTTAAATTCATGGCATGCTCTTGTTGTACAAATCTCTCATTGGTTCATTGACTTTATTCAATCATGTCTTCAAGGAAGTCTGTGCTTACCTGGGGTTGTTTCATTCATTGAATTGTTGGTCATTCTCTATCAGGACCCAAGGGTGGTGTTTATTCTACAATTTGTACTATATGTCCAGACCTTTGTAAAAGCTTAAAAAATCATAGAGTTCCATAGAACTCTAGGGTATGGAAACAAGATTTTCTAAAGTCTGAACTGAAGATAAAATGAAGTGCCCCCCTGTGCTAAATACAAAATTTTTGATTGGTAGTATGAGGTCTTACTATTTCAATCTATCACCTGATTGGCCCCGTTGGGTGTAATGTTAAAACAGATTATAGATTATATCTTAACAGATTATAGATTATGATTTTAATAAGAAGTTGTTAATCTGTTTGGTGTAGTTGTTGGATTATAGATTTAAGTTGTTGAGTAATGTTTGTTAAATAAGCTGTGAAGTAACTTTTTTAATTAACTTTTATTTTTTATTATTCACTAATTGTCTACATTTCTTATAAAAAAATAATAATAATAATCTATAGTCCATTTGGGCCTTTTTCTATTTTAAAAAAAAAAATAAAAATAAAAAATCTAAGAGTATAATCGTAAATTAACATGTTTATAGTAGAAGTTGATAATCAGAAATTAGGGGTGAACAGCTTCTCAGAATCAGTTTTTTTGAGTTAAAATTTGTTAGAATAAAAAATTATTTGAAATAAGTTTAACCAAACAATTCAAAATAACTTTTCGAAAGCTAAAAGTTATAAATTGACTTAAAAAAGCCCAAACAAACACCCCCAACAAATGTGATTCTGATTTTTTATTTCACTGTGCATGCCACTTGACCTAGAAATGGATTGAATTTGTGCATTGTCATTTCGCAAAGTTTGTTATTGTTATGGTTGTGATATTCCTCTTCCTGAGTGCATTTAGTCAGTTATATGTTTTATGCCTAAAAATTCACATCTTAGTGCAGGAAAAGCTGCTTGATGAGCCCAGTTCAGCCAATGATGACACAAAGCAAGCTGCAGATTCCTCCATTAATGATGGATCTCCAGAATATCCAAGCAAAAATTTTAACAAACAGATAGCTGTGGTTTCTACCCTTGCAGCAGTGGGACTTTTCTTATCAACACGACTAGATTTAGGTGTTTCTTTGAAGGACCTATCTGCTATGGCATTACCATATGAAGAGGTTTGCTTGTTATTCACTCTATGGCTCAAATTTATGTTATTCTTGGTTACTTGGTATATTGTACTTGTATTTGTGATATGTGCATTGGATGAGCATGATTGAAGGGTTGGATGAAAATTCTAGATATTGTTAACTTATATATTGTGTTTAATAAAATAATAGGGAGTATTTTGGAAAGAAAAGGATTAAAATGTTTGTTATTTTTAGACATAATGGTAGTGGGGTCATGACTTCATTATCTATCATAGGTTAGATTGTAGGCTTGTGTTTGAGCAGAAATTAAATAGTCACTAGTCTTTGTACAATTTTTATGGCTAGGCAGGGCACAACACGACTAGTTTGTAGAATTTTTTGTTACTTCGTTTTTGTAGACTTCTGTATTACAGAACCTTTCTTTTTTCGGTATGCTGCTCCACGAGTAGGGAGTGCCACGCACGAGCGGAGCGAAAACAAAGCAAGGAGAATTCTTCAAATCCTTTGATTGTGTATTGAATATAGATCCATGTCTTTCTTGTTCCACTAGCTAGGACCAAATTATCACATGTACGTGTCGTTATTACAACCTTATTTTTTGATGTCAAAGACACACCAGGAAGAGTATTTTGTTTTTAACTTTTTCATGCACCAATCATCCTTGGTCTTCCTTCCTCTCTGTAAAAACAAATAAATAATAATTTATGCTTTCCAGCTTTGTAACAGGTGATGAGTGAATGTTCTTACCTTGCCTTCATATTGGGAGCGTTTGGTGCGGCTGATAAAATAGATTATAGCTTATAACTTAGCACTCGTTTGGGAAGAAGGGTTGGGTTGGGTTTGGTTTGGGGTTATTTTAGTCACAAAAAGACAAAATAAGTTTTTAGCCCAATAAGACAAAACATCACATCTAATCCATAATCATTACTCTCTCTCTCACAAAAAGTCAAAACCAAAAAGCCCATCCCAAACGAGGCTTCTTAGTCCCAGGCTAAAATAGTCAAAAAGTCAAAAAGCCAAAAAGCCAACTCACTTATAGATTTAATCAGAAGCTGTTAACCTGTTTGGTATAACTGTTAAATTATAGATTTAAGTTGCTGAGTAGTGTTTGTTTAATAAGCTGTAAAATAGTTTTTTGTTGTATAATGTCCTTTTTGCCCTTATTAGATATAAAAATTGTTAACCTATTTCATTTTCTTCATTTTTTTTATTACATGCCAATTAATATAAAAATTGTGATTTATTTTTTTCATTACAATATCAATTAATTAAAAATTGTGATTATTTTTTTTCATTATAATACAAATTAATAATATAAAAATTGTTAATTTTTTAATTTATTATTAATTCATTACAATTAATAAAGATTAATAATATAAAAATTGTTAAGTTTTTTTAATTTATTAATTCATTACAAATACCAAACCCTAGCTACCGCCGACAGCCCTAGCCACCGCCAACCGCTCCCTTCTTCTCATCCCACCACCAGCAGCTCTCTGCAAAACCGGAGTGAACATAGAGAGAGAGCTAGGGTTGATCTCGAAGAGAGAGAGAGAGAGAGAGAGATAGGGTTGATCGCAATCGTGATTGCAACGTTGGAGAGGAGAAGAAGGGTTAGGGTTTTGCATCGTCACGCCGTTGATCGCCACGCTAGGGTTTCACATCGCGATGTGTTTCACAGCATAGCCAGAGAACAACGCCAGAGAGAGAGAGAGAGCTCCGGTTCATAACGCCGAAAATCGCCTCTCTATCACGCCGGAAATTGCCACTCTCTCAGAGAATGAACAGTGATCTTTGTGGTTTATATAATGGCAATTTGGTAATACTTCAAATTAGTGAAGGGCATTTAAGTAATTTCAACACCCCCCTCCGCATAATCCACTTGCGGAAGCGGCTCCCAGCCGCTTCTGATTTTGGACGAATTTATGTAAGAAAAAAATCTATAGAAGCTGAAGCTGTTGGCCTTAAGCTTAACCAAACACTCTGCAGTAGCTTTTTAGAAGCCAAAAGCTATAATCTGTTCAAATTAAGCCAAACCAAGCACCCTCATTGTATCATTGTCTGTGTGATTATTGCTTTGTAACTATTTTTGTGCTGGTTGTTCAGGCTCTCTCCAATGGGAAGCCCACTGTTGTGGAGTTTTATGCAGATTGGTGTGAAGTATGTCGAGAATTAGCTCCAGACGTGTACAAAGTTGAACAGCAGTACAAGTACTTTTCTTGCTATTCTTTTCTCGCCCTATATTCATTGTACTTTGTTTTTATCAGCTTTTTCTAGCTAATAGTTGGCAAGCTTCACATCGCTCTTGAAAAATTGACTCCAATACTACTGTCTAATTCAGGGACCGTGTGAATTTTGTGATGTTGAATGTTGACAACACAAAGTGGGAACAGGAACTTGATGAGTTCGGTGTCGAAGGTATCCCACATTTTGCATTCTTGGACAAAAATGGGAATGAGGAGGGAAATGTTGTGGGCAGGCTTCCAAGACAGTATTTTCTTGAGAACGTGGATGCCATTGCCCGTGGAGAAGCATCCATACCTCATGCCCGTGTTGTGGGACAGTATTCAAGTGCTGAAGCCAGGAAAGCGCACCAAGTTGTTGATCCAAGAAGTCATGGCTAGACATTTCTTTATTTCCAAATGTGAGTATGGTCTAAGGTAAAACGTAACCTTGCGATATTCACCTGTCACAATTTTTTTGATCATTTCCTTTTGTTTAATTTTAAGTTTACTTAATACTGTCAACATTCTTGCAACCTTGTTGAAAAAACTTGTGCATTCCATGGTCAAAAAGAGCCTGGTCCTGATCTTTTAAGCCATTGCATCCAACTAGTGTAGGGATAATAGTGCTTACTATAGAGATAAATTGGGCCCTTGGGGATGTTAGAACTTAAAATTCTCATCTAATTTTTATGAAGAATTCAACTAGTCCAAAGCTACAAATTATGTGTAGACTGTGAAGTAACAAGGGTAAAAGTTAAAACAAGGGACTAGGTTATGCATAGGCTGTGATGTCATAGTCTCATAGCCATGGCTTATTGTGAATTTGATTTTCTACTTTGCTATGTGAGGTTATCTTTAACCCATTTTGGCAATTAGCCCGTCATTCATCAGCCCTACCTAGTTGAACTCTTTGCTAGTCGCCAGAATCCCAATAAGTGAAGATGGGTTTGTTGTTTTTCCAGGAAAGGAAATAGTTTCTAGGAAAGGTGACATATTGCAAGGGCAATTTAGTTTTGATCGTCCACACTAAGTTAGGGTTGCGGCACGACTCGTCTCCTCTTAACATGACCTTGTCTCTTGATTTCAATAGACACGCAAACAAAACAGTTGTATAACATGCATTCATAGAAATCTAACATATAATTAGAATAAAAAATTATTGAATAAAACTCTCAAAGTTATACATGTCCAAATCAAATCAAAACTAACTACAATACATAATCCTAGTTACTTGGCTAGGATTTCATCTCAACCCTAAAGAAAGTGCCTAGCCTCTCATGGAGAATCACTACTAATAAGAGGGTTTTTGAGTTAGCAAGGTGCTGTCGCAAAGTGTATTTGTTGTTGCGAAAACTTTTTGAGATGGCATGGTAACGGCAAAATTAGAGACAACATTAATGTGGTTGCAAAAACTTTTTGAGTTGGCATGCATGTTGTCACCGATTATTAGAGATGGTAAATTAAACTTTTTCAGACAGCAAGTTGCTAATGAAAAACTGGTAAAAACCGTTTAAAATAAAATTAGCAACATTTTTATAGCTATCGCTAGTGCTTGTTGCATTGGTAAGTTGTTGCTTAAAATCAATGTCACTAAAATAAAATTTTATTTGAGTTGTATAAGCTTTTGCCATCTGAAAAATTTTTTGTAAAATTTACACCAAAAAAAATAAAATAAATTATTTACAACTATAATTACACACAATGGACTGTCGGCGAATTTTTTTAGTCTCATTCCTCTTTGAAGACACCATGGATTTGGACGTACTATTTATTTATTTATTTTTTCTTCTCCTCCTTCTCCGGCAACACTATGAATTCTAATGAACTTTTTTTTGTAATTTGTTTTTCTCCCTACCAGAGACATTGAAATCATCTTAACAAAACCCTTCAATTAGTCGGAGATTGAAAATTAAAAATCTAAGAGAGAAAGAATGTAGTAGTAGGTGAATGGATTTTCTATGGAAATCTCATATTTGAAATTAGAGGAAACGACTAAATGAAAAAGGAAAAAAGTTGGCGGAGATAGGGGAGAGAAGGTTTTTGCGGATACAAGAGACAATAATTTAATTATTTAGTACATTTGTCACTCCAACCCATCAAATTGACGTTGTGTACTTGTTATACCAATTATTTTCTCTTGCTATATAATAGTCTAGTCTAGTGTGATTTATTTCTACACCTAGCTTTCCATTTTTTTTTTTTCTTTTGCTAAGGAAAACGAAAACTAGCTTTCTATTCTTGCATGCAATGGCTTTGTACGTCATCCTTCTTATTATTTTTTTATTCTTCTTCAATTCTACTACTGAAACTAACAAGTCCAGTTATTTAATTTTGTCGATAAAAATTCAACAATCTCTCAACTTTTTAATGAAGCAAAATGGTTGAATGAGAGAATATTTTATACCTATAAGGTATTGAGAGGTTTTGCTGCATGGTTGATGGAGGAAGAAATTGAGTATATTACTCATGCTATTGGAGTCCTAGATGTGATACTCGGCATTTGTCATCTTCCTAACAAGCCGCCTCCACGAGTGGTACTACGTACCCTGTGCATTATGCCCAAGGACCAATCCAGGCGATGCGACAAGGATCTACCTTGCCTGCCTTGCTGCTTACAAACTAATGCGCTTGCAAGGTGCTTGGTGTAAAATTTGCATCTCCAATGAGTCGGTACATGACAAGTAGTTATAGAAATTATATGAGTGTCATGACTAGTTTCATCCCGTGGTGACTGGTAATCTCTACCAAAATGGTTCATAACTTTATAAGATTTGAAATTTTCAGACACCACAGTAAAGTATATAGCAACAACTAATTTTTTGCTACACAAGCTTGAATTGAACTCCTCTCCCTTTTCACAGGAACAATTCCAACTAATCCAACTAACCTAAGTCCTACATCATTGAAGTTTTCAACTTCTGGCCATATGCCAAAGTCCACTAAGCAAATAATCACATTTTCAGTAAAGTTAGATTTTGACCCTAAGCCAAAATTTATTTTGAGGCCCAAAAATTTTGGTAATCAAGTAATATGAAGACAATGGATTGTCGGTAATTTTTTTTCCAGACAACAAGTTGCCACCGAAATAATAGTAAAAGCTATTTTAAAAAAATTTAGCAACATTTTTATTGCCATCGCTAGTGCCTTTTGCGTTGGTAAATTGTTATCACTTAAAATTAATCTCACTAAAACAATTTTATTTGAGTCGTATATGCTTTTGCCATTGGGAAAAAAGTTTTTTAAAAAAAATTATTTACAACTATAATTGCACACAATAAATTGTTGGCGAATTTTTTAGTCCCGTTCCTCTCCAGAGACACCATGGATTCTAACGAACTACTTTTTTTTCTTCTCCTCCTTCTCTGGCAACACCATGAATTCAGAAAAACTTTTTTTATAATCTTTTTTTTCCCTCCCTATATGAGACGTTGAAACCAAATTAACAAAACCCTTCAATTAGCAGAAGATTGAAAATTAAAAATTTAAGAGAGGGAAAGAACGTAGTAGGTGAGTGGGTTTTCTATGAAAATCTCATATTTGAAATTAGAGAAAAACAATATATGAAAAAAAAAAAAAAAAACTGATGGAGATAAGAGAGCAAAGGTTATTGCTGATGCAAGAGACAAGAATTTAATTATTTAATACATTTGTTCCTCCAACTCATCAAGTTGATGTGGTGTACCAATTATTTTCTCCTGCTATATAATAGTCTAGCATGTTTCATTTTTTTCCTTTTGCAAAGCGAAACGAAAACTAACTGCTTACTCTTGCATGCAATTGCTTCGTGCGTGTCATCCTTCCTATTATTTTCGTATTGTTCTTAAATTATGCTACTGGAACTAACATGTCCAGTTATTCAATTTTTGTCAACAAAAATTCAACAATCTCTCTAACTTTCTAACGAAGCAAAAAGGTTGAATAAGAGAATATTTTATACCTACAAGGTATTGAGAGGTTTCACTGCACGGTTGACGGAGGAAGAAATTGATTATATTACTCGCACTACTGGAGTCCTATATGTGATGAAAGACGAAGCAATTATGTGCCCTCATACGACTCGATCACCAGAATTTTTGAGTCTCAAAATAAATTTTGGCATAAGTTCAAAGTCCATCTTTGCTGAAAATGTGGTCATTGGTTTAGTGGACTTTGGCATATGGTTAGAAGTCAATGATGTAGGACTTGGGTTAGTACCTGTTAGAGCATCTCCAAGGGGATAGTTAAACAAGGCTTGTTAGGTATTTTAACCAATGTAAGTCTAATTTTGAGCTCCAATGGGTTAGCTATTGGGCTAGCTACTTTACCATCCTATTTTTTTTATGGCTACAATTGAAGAGCCCCAGAGGCTCTCCAAACAATTATGTATGTATATATTTTAGATTTTTTGTATATTTATGTCTTGGATTTGGAATTTTATATATTTTATATATATGTGTGTGTATGTAGCAATTTTATATGTTCTTTCAATTCTGTTTAATGAATTACGGAATAACTTATTTTGTATTTTGTATTTTTTTTTCTCCTCATTCTACATGTTTTGTATGTTTGTATGGGAAAATTTATTATTATTGCAAATTTATATTAGTAAAATATCAACAATTAGTATTTTTTTATTTTAAAAATTAATTTAGTTTAAATGATTAGCTAAAATAAAGAGCGTGGTTGGATAACACAATAGCTAAAGTAATTAGGTAAAATAAAGAGTGTACTTTTTTTGTACTTTAGCTAGTGAAAAGTAGAGTGTCGTTGGAGTTGCTCTTAGTTGAAAGTGCTCTCTTGAAAATGGAGAGGAGTTCAACTCAAGCTTGTACAACAGAAAATTGGTTGGTGCTAGATACTTCACCGTGGTTCTGAAAATCTCAAATCTGATAAGGTCATTAACCATTTTGGAAGAGATTACCAGTCACCACAAGATGGAACTGGTCATGGCACTCATATGGCTTCTATAGCTGCTGGTGCCCTTTTCGAACATGCCAATCTTTTCGGATTTGTAAAGAGCACTACCAAGGAAATTGCATCTATCGCACGGATAGCCATGTATAAGGCAGGTGTGTTAGATTAATGCTCTAAAGAGAGTAGATGGCCAAATGGGAAGACGTGATCTGGCACATCGAGAGGAGATAAGAGAAGGGGTAGAAGAGAAGAGAGACAGAAGGATCGAAATTTTTTTTTTCCTCTTAACATGATTTTTCGCCAGATTACCCAAAACCCGGTACCAATTTCCTGAACCCAGGTCCTTTGAAATCGATATCACGAGACCCCCTTCCCTCTCATTCAGCGAAACCCTCGCGTCGCCCTGCCTTCACTGCTGGAGGGAGAGATTTTTTTGGTGTGTGCGGTGTTTGCGGCGAGGGTATCATGTGAATGTTTGCTAACAAGACATCTTCATGTCAGGTTTGTCTCTTTTTTCTCTCTCTCTCCGCTCCCCTCCTTTTGGAATTTGAGAACCTGTTTTTAATGTTTTTCTCCTCTGTTTTTTTTATGGGAAAGGTTGAATTTTCTGGAAAAATTTTGGTTTGTAATCACGGAAAATTCTTCATTTAGTGTTGGGGGAAAAGGTCGCAATTCTTTTGGCTCTAATCGAAAATATGGCAATGTGGAGTGGTTTTAACGGATAGAATCGGAAGAAAGGATGAGATTGTTTGACCGGCCGTCTTATTTTCAGGTTCACTGCGTTTGGAATCGGAGAGAAACTAAGTCAAATGAAAGGGAAATTAAAGTGAAATTTTCTTATTTTAGGTCCTCGAAAATGTAAACGCAAAAAGGAGATAAAAAAAAAAAATAAAAAAAATCTGAATTGGACCCAAAACGAAGTTTGCTCTCATTAGGGAAAATTTCACAACTCCCAATTATTAAATGATGCTATTATCATTATATTCTCCTCTGCGACAACCAAAAAAGGATTCGATTTTTTTGTTTCTTATCAAAATTTCACATCTTTGTGGTGTTGGGGGTATTCTAATTTGTATGGTTTTTGAATGCAGAGGGACACTTCCATTCTGTAGTTTGAAGTATGTCAAACTAACAACAGATAGAGAATTGATAAGCCTAATTGAGAAGATATTGGGAAGAACTGCTTCCATGAAATTATGGATGTCAGAAGAATACCAAAAATTACTCTCTTTTTCTCACAACAATGACTCTCATAATTTACTATTTTCCTTCTCTGTCTCCTCCCTTCTTTGTTATTTCTTTTTTGTTTTTGGTTTTCTCTCTCTTCTCTCTCTTTCTCTTTCTTTGTTTTTGTTTTGTTTTGGGCTCCAGAAACGACGTTTTTGGGGTACTGCAGGGAACGACAGAGGACCGGAACCTCATAGTGCAGGATGTTCAATGGAGTTGTTGTTGTGCTGTATTGTGCTAAGTGACAAAATCAGGAGGTGAGGAGTTTAAAAAATATATATAACTGCAAGCAACCATCGAAGAAGACCGGACTCATAGTCGGGATTCAATTGAGTTGTGTTGTGCTGTATTGTGCACAGTAGACCAAATCAGAGGGTGAAAGAGTTTAAAATAATAATAAGTAGCCGGAGTGAACTATCAAAACCATGCTAGACAAGCTAGACTAGAAACTAGGATTCATTACTGTTTCTTCCAGAGGTTATTTAGTTACCACACTGGCTTACAACAAAAAAATAAAATACAGTAGACACAATTAACCCGGTTTTCCTTTGCTTTGCTCCTTTTGTGACCTTTTTGAAACCCACTTTGTTGAAAGTGTGTTTGGCAACAACTGAAATGCAGCCGAGTTGTAGCCTTTGCTCTCAGTCCTCCTGATCTCTTATTGTGGTCCATGACTCCATGTATGAAGTAGATAGTGTTTTAAATTCATGGCATGCTCTTGTTGTACAAATCTCTCATGGGTTCATCTGACTTTATTCAATCATGTCTTCAAGGAAGTCTTGTGCTTACCTGGGTTGTTTCATTCATTGAATTGTGGTCATTCTCTATCCAGGACCCAAGGGTGGTGTTTATTCTACAATTTGTACTATAGTCCAGACCTTGTAAAGCTTAAAAAATCATAGAGTTCCATAGAACTCTAGGGTATGGAAACAAGATTTTCTAAAGTCTGAACTGAAAGTAAAATTGAAGTGCCCCCCCTGTGCTAAATACAAAATTTTTGATGGTAGTAATGAGGTCTACTATTTCAATCTATCACCTGATTGGCCCCGTTTGGGTGTAATTTAAAACAGATATAGATATATCTTAACAGATTACATAGATTATGATTTAATACGAAGTTTGTTAATCTGTTGTGGGTGGTAGTTGTTTGGATTATAGATTTAAGTTGTTGAGTAATGTTGTTAAAATAAGCTGTGAAGTAACTTTTTTATTAACTTTTTATTTTATTATTCACTAATTGTCTACATTTCTTATAAAATAATAATAATAAATCTATAGTCCATGTTGGGCCTTTTTCTATTTTAAAAAAAAAAATAAAAATAAAAAATCTAAGAGTATAAATCGTAAATTAACATGTTTATAGTAGAAGTTGAATATCAGAAATTAGGGGTAACAGCTTCTCAGAATCAGTTTTTTTGAGTTAAAATTGTTAGAATAAAAATTATTTGAAATAGTTAACCAAAACAATTCAAATAACTTTTCGAAAGCTAAAAGTTATAAATTGACTAAAAAAGCCCAAACAAACACCCCCAACAATATGTGATTCTGATTTTTTTATTTCACTGTGCATGCCACTTGACTAGAAATGGATTGAATTTGTGCATTGTCATTTCGCAAAGTTTGTTATTGTTATGGTTGTGATATTCCTCTCCTGAGTGCATTTAGTCAGTTATATGTTTATGCCTAAAAATTCACATCTTAGTGCAGGAAAGCTGCTTATGAGCCCAGTTCAGCCAATGATGACACAAAGCAAGCTGCAGATTTCCTCCATTAATGATGGATTCTCCAGAATATCCAAGCAAAAAATTTTAACAAACAGATAGCTGTGGTTTTTACCCTTGCAGCAGTGGGACTTTTCTTATCAACACGACTAGATTTAGGTGTTTCTTTGAAGGACCTATCTGCTATGGCATTACATATATGAAGAGGTTGCTTGTTATTCACTCTATGGCTTCAAATTATGTTATTCTTGTTTACTTGGTATATTGTACTTGTATTTGTGAATATGTGCATTGGATGAGGATGATTGAGGGTTGGATTGAAAATTCTAGATATTGTTAACTTATAATTGTGTTTTAATAAATAATAGGGAGTATTTTGGAAAGAAAAGGATTAAAATGTTTGTTATTTTTAGACATAATGGTAGTGGGGTCATGACTTCATTATCTATCATAGGTTAGATTGTAGGCTTGGTGTTTGAGCAGAAATTAAATAGTCCACTAGTCTTTAGTACATTTTTTAATGGCTAGGCAGGGCACAACACGACTAGTTTGTAGAATTTTTTTGTTACTTCGTTTTGTAGACTTCTGTATTACAGAACCTTTCTTTTTTCGGTATGCTGCTCCACGAGTAGGGAGTGCCACGCACGAGCGGAGCGAAAACAAAGCAAGGAGAATTCTTCAAATCCTTTGATTGTGTATTGAATATAGATCCATGTCTTTCCTTGTTCCACTAGCTAGG